AAAATTGCTATGATATGTTCAGTTGTTATCACTTAATAGGCAATCATCTTAATGTCTATCGCAACGCGGAAATTACTATCGCAATGCGAAATGAAAATCGCAATGAGAGAATCGCAATGCGAAATGAAAATCGCAACGCGAATTTCATAATGCAAAATGAAAATCGTAACGAGGGAATCGCGTTGCGATTTTCATTTCGCGTTGCGATTCTCTCGTTGCGATTTTCATTTCGCATTGTGATAGTACTTTTTGCCTTCAACATAATGCAGATTGAAATCAACAAAATCAACCATTACATTTCAATCAATTAAACAAGCACAAATAAGAATTATGTTAACATCAATTAAACAAATCAACTTTTACAAATCACCTTTTACAAATCAATTAAACAATCAAAAAATAAGCAATAATTCTTATTTCCTCATCTACTATTGAATCAACTTTTGCAGCCATACATCATTTTCATGTAGCTCACTTCTGAGATTAACCTGCATAAACCAAACATTTGCTCAAACAACACTTTCTACACATCTAAAACCTACAAACAGTAAATTATTGAATTCTAGGTACTTAACCAAACATTTTCAAACCACAAGCCTATAAACATACCAATTGTTTATGGACATTTTTATAACGCGGATGCAGGTAGGCAGCGTCTCGTATATATCGATCTAGCCATATAATGCCAAAACCACAAGCCTACTGCAGCTCTATCTCTATCGGTGGGAGGTAGATACTTTATACTTCCTGTGATCAAACGGTCCAACGCCAAGCATACGAGAGGACCACAATCCCCTCTGGTCCTTTCGTTTGTTGTGGTGCGGTCTCGTCTCTGCTAACTGTAATATTGAGCTTCTTTGGCTTCTTGTTCCCAGAACGAGTCCAATAATTTATCGCATTCAATAATTTAGCCAAATAAGAGCTCCATCCCTTAATAATATCTCTTAAATCAGCCAATGATATGTAATTTATCATGCTGTCATATACTATTGCCTTAAGGGATGGGATCTGAAGCTCGACGAGAAGCCAATGTTTACGTTCCAAAACAGGGATAAACACCTGCAATCATAAGTAATAATTCATTCATTTGCGCACTTATTTATGAATACCTTTAAACTCAATCTAAAATAAACACTAACCTTATCGACCTCCCACCATGCAGGATAAAGTTTAGCTTGTCCATTGCCCAACGCAAATGATTCATCTCGTTGATTCTTCAAGTGAGCAGCGTTAAAAGACGTCGGCATAATTGTATATCGTGTATTTCTTTTATTTTCCTTAAGTTTCCTAATTATTAGAAGACGTGACACCCACGCATCGATATGCTGTTTTAGAAAAAAAGACATATATTAGTAACTTACATAAATTTTAAAAAAATAATCAAATTAAAATATAAGAAAAATATAAGACTTACCCCTCCATCGAAATAGCCATTGTCTTCGACCCCTAATAATACGCCCCACCAAGATCGATCAAGCAACAAATAGATATCATCGTTGAGCTTGCATATGTCAGTGAAACACCCCTGGCTCCGCTCATGTAGATAAAAATCAATTGCGGTCTTAGCCCAAAGGGTGTTATCCAGAATTGTGTCCGGTAGTTATTTCCTCTCCACTTCAGATACCGGTATGGTACTGGCCGGTAACTCATACGAGAGCCAACTTGAATCCATCATGTCCGGCACGTCAGAGGGTTTCTCAAGAATCCTACATATGACGCCATGTGAATCGGGCTCTTGAATGGTGGGAGGGACCTCTTCAACGATGACAGTGGCCTCTTGAACGGTGGGAGGGGACTCTCGAGGAATGATAGGGGCCTCTTCAACGATAGGAGTGGACTCTTGAGGGATGACAGGCGAGTCGGGCTTCTTCTTGCAGTGTCTTCGCACTATTGGGGTATACGGAGACTTAATAGCACGTGCACGCCGTCTGATGCGTGAACTCTGTCTTGCAAGAAAAACCCGACGTAAAGCATCCACCTTATCGGTCCGCTAAATAATTAAATACAAATATCAGTAAATAAACAGACATGATATTTAAACAGTGAAAACAAAGACAAATATATTTCAAACTTTCAACCAAAAGACAAAACAAAGACAAATACTAACTTCACAGTGTTAAAGAATACACAGTTTAGCAGAATTGGCAGCAACCGAATAAATTTACTTCAACCAAAAGACAAAACAAAAAGACAAATACTAACTTCACAGTGTTAATAAACAGTTTAGCAGTATTGGCAGCAACCGAATAAATTTACTAAGCAATCTAAGTGAAATGGTTAATTTCAGTGAAATTACGAGTAAATTTATCATCAAGTTAAATATGGAAAATCTTAAACTTACCTCGTTGCGTAGAGTATGTGAACCTCATTATGCAACGATACTACCATCTCATGTAGAGCGGCAACCTCACCACGTAAAGTAGACACCTCCACACGCCATGCACCATCGTTATCGCGTAGAGTACCGATCTCCTCACACAAGGCATTTACCTTATCACGTAACTCCCTTGACTCATCCCCGTGGAGGTGGAGAACAGGGAGATAGAAGTCGTGGTATCTTTGTCGGTCGCCTATCATGAGGTGATGGTGGAGAAGAGGCTCGATGATGTGACGGGATAGGTGATGGCTCTCGTTGTAGAGGTGTATAGTCGGGTCGATCAGGTGATGGCTCTGGGTGAGGTGATGGCTCTCGAAGTGGAGGAAGTGGAGGCTGCTCATCATTCGTGCCATCAAGAAAACGCTGACTAGCTTGCCACCAATCAGTGGCAAGCTCAGCCTCCGTGGGTGTCAGTCTCATTAATGGAATGTTGGCCTCCTAAAAATATAAAAACTCAAACAAAGTTAAACGTCTACTATTAATAACTTTTTTATATATGATAGTATTTTTGTTAACTTACATTATTTATTGTCGCATATGGTATTAAGTCTTCCCAATCCAACAGACGTTTCCTCTTCCAGGAAATAGCCCTGTGAATATCATTTGAAGTTTTTATTGCATATGTCTTCATGGCGGGAAAGGCCTCGAATATCCAAATCTACAAACATATATAACAAACATTAGTAATTGTTAAATAATTAATTATAATTTTGAAAAAATTATATAGAAATTCTTACCTTAAAGGCCCAAACAAAGCCTGACAAAGTGTATTTCGACCCATCGCCCCGCAAATTTTTGCGGTCATCAAAGGCAGACGACAACTTAGTCCAGGTAGCTTTCCATATATACGAACCTCACGGAAACAGATTCCATGCATTTAGGTCCTCTACCAATAATATTAGCTCCTGAGGAATAGGTTGTCTGGCCTCTCTGCCTAAAAAGCCGGCATACAAAAGTAGTAGAAGGCATACTCGGACAACATCGACGTCATTCATCCGAGTAAAACCATCTTTCTTATTAAACAATTTCTTCATGTCGTCGACGTGTAAGTTCGGCTTCTCTATTGACTCATCAGGAAAAACCCTGGATAACCATGATGGGCGGGTGATATGACGAGTGTACCGGCCTACATCATCGTGTCCGAATCGTAGACCAGTGATTAAGCAGAACTCCTTCCGCCCAAAACAAGTATGCGCCGGTGGAAAATGAAACCATATCTCTTCCTCACCACGTTGTATACTGTCGGGTAGATCGCTAGTCATGGTCTGAAGCCACAAATGGGTCAAATTAGCATCTCCACCCGGATGCTGTACTCTCAGCCATGGCCCGAAGTAGGTTTCCTCAAACAATTTTCTTTGTGCAGGTGAAAGCTTCGAAGCAATTGTAGTGGCTAGGCTAACTTTATTCCTTAATGTCAATGAAGCCGAAAAAAATTTCTACAAAAACAATAAACATACCAAGTTAGATATACCAAAAACTACACTGTCAAGATATACCAAAAACAATAAATATAAATAGTAGTTTATTCTTGAAACTAAAATTTGCAACACTGTTTTGTCTTTTGGTTGAAATGAAAATCGCAACGAGATAATGAGAATCGTAACGCGGAAATGACTATCGCAACGAGAGAATCACAACGCGAAATGACTATCGCGACGAGAGAATCGCAATGCGATTTTGGTTTCGCGTTGCGATTCTCTCGTTGCGATAGTTATTTCCGCGTTGCGATTTTCATTCTCGAAACTATTCTTCTTCTGCATTACTTCAACCAAAAGACAAAACAAAGACAAATACTAACTTCACAGGCTAAACAGTTTAGCAGTATTGGCAGCAATCGAATGAATTTAATAAGAAATCTAAGTGAAATGGTTAATCTATTATTAAAATTACCAGTAAACTTATCATCAATCTCAATATGAAAAACCTAAAATAATGCAAAAATTTCAAAATAAAAATAAAATAAACTAACCCTCTGAGGTTGATTTTCCATTTCTGAATGATTGTGAGGGATTTTTGACTGTGAATGGTTGTGAGAGATTTCGCCGGCGATGGGGACGGAAATCTTCGGAGATGGGGACGGATTTCGCCGTAGAGAGTGAGAGATGGAGATGGGACTGAGTGTTGTGATTTTGGGTTTGAGGTTATGAGTTGCGATTACTGTGGACGGTTCAGTTTCCGATTTATTAAGAAAAAATTCGTGTTTGGAATTTGAAAAAAAAATACGCGTTAATACGAATGGCGCTATGTAAATCGCGTTGCGAAAGTCAGTATCTCGTTGCGATTTTGTATTATCGCATTGCGATAGTAAGTATCGCATTGCGATAGTCAGTATCGCATTGCGATTTTTCCAATTCGCGTTGCGATTTACTTATTCGAATTGCAAATTGGGAAAATCGCAACGACACTGTAGATCATCGCAACGCGATTTCTAACTATCGCAATGCGAATTTGTGATAATGGAGATCGCGTTGCGAATTAGCGATCGCATTACAATTTTGTTGATCATTTTGATAAATCCAAAAAAAATTAATTAAAATCGTATATTATAATATATTTTTGTCACTGAGACGATTTTCTCAACTAACCCAACATAAAAAGCGTAAGAAAAGACAGTGGACCTCACATTGTTTTAGGTGACTCAGATTCCCAATGCTCAGTGAAAGCACTCCTGATAGCCCTTTACTGGCCATTTCCCTATCAACAACAGTATTATATAATAATAAAAGAAGAAAACAAGTAATATCCTTACAGTGAGATAACGTAACCCTCAGCAGAACAAGCAACCATATTGCACGGATTGTCTCATGTAAGGCAGAGTAATATATGGTTAATATATAATATTATAAGATATTAAAAGATATTTGATAAATTTAATTTAGTCTATGAAATATCGAGTAATAATAATGTAATAGGTGAAATCATAAAGAAATATTAAAAAATTTGGTAACCGGCAAACTTAGCTTGTCGGTTTGTGTCGATACTTTATAAAAATATATTAATCTATAATAATATAACAGTTAAAAAAATGACAAAACCGGTATATAAATGACAAAACAGGTAAAGCGTTACCGGATATATTGAAAGTGTCGATACTTTATAAAAATGTATTAATTCATAACAATATAATAGGTAAAAAAATGACAAAACGGTCTATAAATGACAAAACAGGTAAAGCGCTACCAGATATATTGAAAGTGTCGATACTTTATAAAAATGTATCGATCCATAACAATATAACAGTTAAAAAAATGACAAAACCGGTCTATAAATGACAAAACAGGTAAAGCGCTACCGGATATGTTGATAGTGTCGATACTTTATAAAAATATATCGATCTATAACAATAAAACATGTAAAAAAATGACAAAACCGGTCTATAAATGACAAAACAGGTAAAACGTTATCGGATTTGTTGATAGTGTCGATACTTTATTATAAGTATCGACACTTTTAAAATTTAAAAGAAAAGAAGTTATAGCGCTAATAAAGTGTATATACTTTATAAAAATGTATCAATCCATAACAATATAACAGGTAAAAATATGACAAAATCGGTTTCGAAATGATAAAACCAGTAAAGAGCTATCGAATATGTTGATAATGTCGATACTTTTTGAATTTAAAAGAGAATAAGTTATAGTGCTAATAAAGTGTCGATACTTTAAAAAAATGTATCGATCCATAACAATATAACATGTAAAAATATGACAAAATCGGTCGAAATGACAAAACCGGTAAAGAGGTACCGAATATGTTGAAAATGTCGATACTTTATTATAAGTATCGACACTTTTGAAATTTAAAAGAAAATAAATTATAACGTCAATAAAGTGTCGATACTTTATAAAAATGTATCGATCCATAACAATATAACAGGTAAAAATATGACAAAATCGATCTCGAAATGACAAAACTAGTAGTAAAAAAGTGTGCTTGTGTGGTCATTTTTATTTCAGAATTTTTATTTTTTAATACAAAAAGTTGAATATTTTAAGTAAAACCCAGTAAGAAAAGAATAAAAACTTTACAGTAACAAAAGAATAACATTGGGAAAACCACCATGTTATCGATTTCTCAAAAAACAAAAACTCAGAAACAGACATCTCTCAACGCAAACTTATAATATATTCTTATTATCTTCATAGGATAAAGTTAGGTTAGTTTTAGTTTCTTAAAGCATAAACTTATGGTTAAAGAATTCAAACTGGTGCACGCATAAGTATCGATGCATTTATGAAAAGTATCGATCCTAAGAACATCAAAATCGATAATTATTATGTAACAGGTAAATTTATAATATAACTGATAAAAATATACTGGTTAATTAGCAAATAGATTTACATTATGTATCGATACTCTTTAAATATGTGTCGATACTTTTTTCCCAAAATAAAAGCACAACGAGGTGCACGTATAAAGTGTCGATACATTTAAAATTGTATCAATCCCAAAAACATCAAAACCGATAATTATAATGTAATAGGTAAATTTATAATATTACCGGTTTAAATATATATGTTTAGTTAGAAAATATGTCAATATAAACGCTACCTAATATATTATTGTACTTAATAATATTTTCGGTTAAATGATATAACATAATTGATCTAAATTTTAATCGATCACTTATTTAACAGTCACACAATTTTTTAACCGCACAACATAAGTTCCCATATTCCAAGTACAAGGATCAACCGAGTTAATATCCGAGCCGTCCATAACGTGCCTATCATCTTTCATCTCTCTTTTGACCAACATCAAAGCAGTCACTGTAATTTCAAGACCACCCGAAACAAAAACTTAAACATTCTTAATCAATGGTGTATGGCTCAGAAACTAAGGACCCGAACCAAAAAACCACCTTCATAGTTAACTCCTTTTGGGGAGAGGAGACTGTCACCAGCTGGTAGAGAATGGACCCAACGAAAAAGCAACAAAACAATCCACAATAAGTGCAGCGCCATTGAAAGTTAAACAAAAAGCAGCGACAAAAGGGAGAGGGAGCCAAAGCCCAGACTTTAAAAAGGGTAGCTTTTTCAGTAGGTTTTGACTTTAAGAAAGCAAGGCCAAAATCTTCGTCTGACAAAGGGAAAGACTGGGTTTCGGTGTTGAACTCCCAATCTTTTTTTTTCCCCTTCTTTGGACTCTCCATTTTTTGCTTTTGGGTATTGAATAAATAAAGATTGAATTTTTAATCGTAAAGTGCAGGAGACTGGCTTTTGAAATGGGGTAAGCCCTCGAGATGTGTGCAAATGACAGGATTGTCGCTTTGTCTTGACTTGATGAGCTTATCTCGTGTTTCGGTTTGTAGGAATTTAGGCCGTTCAGATTATCGGAAATAAATTATTTCAACGGTTGATAATTAACTTGTAACACTGGCGCCAATTTCCATGTCGCCGTGATTTTTTTTTTTATTTCTTTCCCACCACACCAAACGGCATCGTCTCACCGATATTTTCCAAATAATTATTAGAGTAAATTACACTAATCATAACTTACTCTCTATCCTATTTTACTCACTATACTTTAAATTTATTTTCTCACTAAACTTAACATAATTAACATTTTTTATCACCCAGTCGTGTTCTCATTAAACGACATTATAAATGAATTGTTATGTATTGCAAAACAACATCGTTTTGATGAAAATTTTGTTTTTTACGACGTTTTAATATCGTTAAATATTTTACGGTCCAGTGACCAAAAATGCTAATTATGTTAAGTTCGATGAGTAAATTAAACGGATTTAAAATACAATGAATAAAATAAGAGATAAGTAAAGTTCAATTATGATTGATGTAATTTACCCTAATAATTATTGTCTATTTAAGAGTGAACAATTGCCACTAATTATGAACTTCATCCATCACAAATTGGAAAATTAATTTATCATAAAGTTCGGAATTTTGGTCCAGTTGGTTGTTAAATACAATAACTTAAAATATTGATTTTTGTTAATTTATGGTATAAAAATCTTTAAATTAAAATAATTATTTATTATATAATTTATTAAATTGTTAATTTTTATTTATTGATTTAATTATCTTATCAAATTAGATTTATTTCTCAAGTAAATATTATTATTAATTTAAAGGGAAAAAACCAATTCTCTAAAATTAAAATAAATAATAACCTGAATAATTTCATAATTATGCCTTAATCATCTTATATTCATGGTATTGGATTCTTTAATTAGAAAGAGGGGGCTTAGGAGCGAAAAGAAGACGTAACTATTAACGCATGGGATGGGGAACTAAGGGCATCTTCAATAGACAAAAACCATCATTATTTGACAACCCTTTCTCTTCTGTGGGGACTGCAATTATATTCCATCAACGGCTAAACCACCAGTTTTCCCAGTATTACCTGCCTGAGATTCAAAAACTTCAACTTGTACGATCAAACTAAACATGAAAGAGTAATAACATTACTTGGCACAAACAGTACGAATAATCGTCTGCGATTTATAACCACCCGAACCCGAAAAACCTCCAGCCACATCTCAGGGACCTTTCTTCACTAGTAGCTTTCTGGTATTGTCCACCTTAAAAAGTCTTCTCATCTTTTACTATCAAACATGTTACATGTACACGACCAAAAAAGGTCATTTTCACAAAATGTGAACTCAGATTAAGCAGGAGAGGCAGAATTTAAGTAGAAATATGAAGAGAGAGAGAGACGGCCACCCGGCTGCCAGAGACTGTAAGCGTCTTGGTAGAGTACAAAATGGTGCTGGACAGGCCTCGGTCAACAGTGGTTATTCATAGATTTTGCTTCGTCTTCGTCATACATCAACCATGAGATATATCGATTCTTACACTGCTTTCGAGGTTTTATGTCCCAGCCGGATGCATGAAATGTTGCGACCCCATTTGCCATTTCACGTGTTCTGGAATCAACTTATTAACAAGCTCCGGTGAGGCCCCGGATAACTGTTGCCAAAAGCGCAGATGACTGGCTAACAATGCACCATCTTGAACGATAAACAAAATTCAAGGTACAGAATAATAGCATACAAAACATTTAATGAGATTCGAAAACATACTTCCTGTTTAAAGTTGAAGAGTGGTGGCAAGGGTTGCCCATTTGGTAGGCGAGTGTTAGATTCTCGAAGCTCGTCAAAGAAGGGATGTGCACATGCTTCGAGCTGTCGCAATAGAGAACGTTCATCACTAAAACAAAAATATTGGAAGAGCTAAAGCAATAATTGAAGGATTGCACGTAGTTTCCAAGTCTAAAATGGAAAAATTACAACGAAAAGATGGATAAACTTTTAACTCACCGCTGTACAGCGAAGACTTGGTGAGTATTGCAGCAGTCGTGAAGCAAGATCAATTGCTTCGGGAGGCATCCTTTTGTGAAAAACCTAGATACATATGAGACACGTTAAAGCAATCAAAAGTACATTTATAACAATAATGCAATTCGTTACACGGAATCAATCAAAATATTTCTGCCCTTAGAAATCTTGGTGGAGAAACACCCAAATCTTCTATAGTTACCAAGTACAAGAGAAAAATAGTATATATTTGATGAGCAAAATAGTCAGAAAGCAATACAAACATGACATTTGCCAATCATTTCAATGACAAAGTTATAAAAGGACAATAAGAGGCAAACCTTATGCCATGGATGTGCTTTAATCTGTGGAAACCTGAAGTCGGTGTAATTGGGATTCATGCAACGAATTTCTTCCCTGGTGGGCGTACCAAGGACCTGTAGGAGGAGTTGTAAGAAGCAGATTCATTATATAATGAAATAAATAACTTCAACCATCACTAGTAAAATCATAC